ATCAGGTACTCCTTTACTGGACCACAAATACTTAGGAAGAACATATTTGATGCTATAAAAAGAGCATTCACTGCAGTGATTAACCATATATTGCAGATTAATATCTAAATAGATTATGTAATAATAGACAGTGAGATAATTCATTTCATGGAAATGCCATTCCTGCGTATTCACCTCAAACTTTTTCTCATCTAACTCAAAACCCTGTAATATTCAGATGTTACACTATATGGCCAAAAGTATGTGGACACCCAACCATAACACCCATAAGAGGGTCTTCCCCAAACTTTTACCACTAAGTTGGAAACACGTAATTGTCTAGAATGTCTTTGAATGCTCTAGCATTAAGATTCCCTTTCACTGGAACTAAGTGGCCAAGCCCAAACCTGTTGCAGTATGACAATGCCCCTGTGATATCCATAAAGCCATGGTTTGCCAAGGTTGGTGTGGAAGAACTTTAGTGGCCTATACAGAGCCCTGACCTCAACCCACTGAATGCCTTTGGGATGAATTGGAACACCAACTTTGCACCAGACCTTCTTGCCAGGCATCAGTGCCTGACCTCACTAATGCTCTTGTGAATGAATGGACACAAATCCCCACAGCCACACTCCATAATCTAGTGGAAAGCCTTCCCAGAAGTGTGGCTGCTTTAGCAGCAAAGGGGGACCAACTCCATATTAATTGCTATGGTTTTAGAATGGGATGGTCAATGGGAAGTGTCCACATACTTTTGGTAATTTGCCATTATAATAACAGAACTTACTTTAATAAGTTCTATAAAAGTATACTATTATAGAGTTGAGTCTTTTAGAACAGTATCACTGTATAAACATTGGGATAAAATTATTACGCATATACAGCTCTCTCTCTCCATCTATCCCTCACTCTCTCTCTAACTTTCCACTTCTTTGTTTGGATAATTTAACAACAATTTAACTTTCCTACTTATTGTTAAAAGCTTTTTGGTTATCACACTGAACTGTCATTCTACAAGGTCAAACTGAACAGTAACTCATTAGAGATAGTGGGATAACAAGACAAAATCCATTATGACAAACTTGTGGTTCTCACACTCGATACATGATGTACAGAAATGCCATTTTGCTCCACCATGACTGTGAGTAAAGGTCCTCCTCTTTTCATCAGTCTGAAGCTCCTCATTAAAATTCAGCCCTTGGGTTTTGATTAATGTCATGTCATGTTGCATTGCTCTGGCTCCGCGCTTGATTGCATTAATAATTGTCCTAAGCAGAAATTTCACGGTCACATTTATGTGAAGTGACGAAGTGGATAGAGGTGGGGACTGTAAAAAGGATTCAATACATACTAGATCCATGAGACAATGTGTTTTTTTTTTGTTTTCTTATTTTTTTTTTTAACTTTACAGCAAGTAGTCAGCTGTCATATTATTTTGGTCTGAGAGATGACATATTTTTTTCTGACCATATGCCCTTTATGCCCTTGCTGGATCGGTGGCTAAAATATGTACTATACAAGCACAGTGCTAGCTCATGCCATATTTTCCTACTGCATGCCTGGCTTATGGCTTTTGCTTCATTCATTTAAAGCATCTGAAAGAACCAGGATCTCATGTGTTCCAGGTGACCCTCTCAAAATGGAGGCTGATTGGAGTGCAGCTGTTTTGTCGGTGAGATAATTACGTTTGAGACATGCTCTGAAACTTAGGGAAGATTAAACTTCTCCCTTCAATCGCTATGAGAGTGCAAACTCTTCTCTCTCTCTCTCTCTCTCTCTCTCTCTATCTATTTATCTATCTCTCTTTCTAGCTATGATTGCATTTTTGCAATCATAGACAGTAGACATTATATATTAAAAACCGCATGTTTCACTGATGTTTAATTCTAACTTCAGTGCTAGTTTGCTTGAGTCGGTAAACTACCACTGATATCTTAGCAAAGAGATGAATGATTGCATTGTAGTGTTACTTGCTTAATGTTCTGATGGAAAAATATAATTGCTTCACACAGTTTTGAGCCAGCCACACTGCAAAAAATGATTATTTCTAACCTATATATTTCTAAATAGGTTTAATAATTCTTATATTTGGTTTATTGTAATCTTATAATAGGAAATACTAGGTCAATTTGACTATATTCAAGATATTTTTACTTTGTAAGTATGATTTGTCCTTTTGCAGCAATTACAGATTGAGTTGTCTCAGAGGTGTCTATATGAGCTTTGCACACTTGAATTTTGGGATTTTCTTCCATTCACCACTGCACTTTTTCTCCAAATCGAAAAAAAAAATCTGGGCTTGGATTTAAGTCTGGGCTTTGACTTGGCCATTCCAAAACACAAACCTTCTTTTTTCAAGCCAATCCTTTGTAGTTTCTGTCCTGTGCTTTGGCTTATTGTCCTGTTAGAACATATATTTTCACTCTAAATGCAGATGTCTGGCTGACTGGAACAGATTCTCCTCAACAATTTGCTTATATTTGACTCCATCTATGTTGCCCGTGATGCCAACAAGCTTTCCAGTTCCTCCTGCTGAAAAGCAACCCTGAGCATGATGCTATCACCAACATGCTTTGGTTTGTGCCAGACATTATGCATTGGCTTTAGACCAAATGCCTCAACTTTAGTCTCACCAGACCACAAAATTGTTTCCAACAGCTTTCAGACTTTAACATGGCCTTTCTCAGAACTGGATTCTTTCTGGCCACTCTCCCATAGAGGCTACATCTGTGCAGAGCTGATGATATTGTTGAGTTCTACACAGGTTCTGGTTGTAGCTTGACTCTTGGACACTTCTCTGACAATTGCTTTGCCTATATTTTAATAGACTTCAACATCGTTTTTTCTCCTAAGGAGGAAGCTTCATAGGCGGTTCCTTGGTCTTCATGACAGCAGGACTGAGCTGATCTGCCATTTTATCTGTTAGACCTCCCAAAGTCAGAGATATTTATTGTGCAAACAAATTAAGTACTGAGAAAATTAAGTACTAGTCCTAATTTAGAAAAAGAAATGGGTTTGAATACTTATCAATTATGCAGTTTTTAGACTTAAAAAAAAAATTCTGAGAACATCTAAATACATCTAAATATTATTTAATTTTATTTGAAGTGAAGTGAAGTGAAGTGACTTGTGGCCAAGTATGGTGACCCATACTCGGAATTTGTGCTCTGCATTTAACCCATCCAAGTGCACACACACTTGGATGTATTTGATTTATTTTTGTAAAGAGCCACTTTAAAATGAGCACAGAAAAAAAACCTAATTTGAAAATACTTAAATTTGATGTTGCAATACACCAAAAACAGAAATAATCACTAGGGGGTAATTACTTTCTGGAGGCACTGTACATCCACACCATTTTTGCTTCCTGTATGTCTGACTTCCTAATCATGGAAGCATTTGTTGACCAATGCAGACTGAAGGGGAAAGAAAAAGAAAAAAAAGAAAGAGAGAGCCCTAAACAGTAGTGCTTTCTAATGAGTGCCTCTTCTTAGGCTACTTGGGATTATCTTTATGTCAAAGCAAAAAGAGAACGCAGAAAGCTGAAATCTCTTATTACCTTGTCATACAGCTGTCTCCACTAACAGCTATACTGCCTGTCAAATGTTCCAGGTAATATTTGGTTTTAACTGATTCGAAGCAAGGACGTTGTGATAGTGCCAAGAGTGGAGTCGAGCACTGAGCTACTCTAGGAGGGGAGCTGGAGCAAAAGGTTTGAGAAAGATGTTGTCATGTATTCATTAGAAATTTATTTATTTCAAATTTTGAAAACCTTTGAAAAAAGGGGAATGGAAAAGAAATGGAGTGAAAAAGGGTATGCTTGATATAGGCTGGTGTGTGTACAAGGCTGCGCATGAATGAGTATGTGTTACCTGTACAGGCTTCTTGCGGGAGCCTTCGTTATTCTCAGCTTCCTCGTGTTCCTTACTGCCCTGAGGCAGGTTGGAATAGTTGGCAAGGCTACTGAGTAGAGATGATACCATGGGACTAGTGTCCATCTCCTCCTACAGCACACACATACACACAAGAGAAACAGCTTCAGTAGCTATAGAGATGTGACACATAAACATTCGAATGCACTAAAAATGGAAAATATGCACTGATAGCTGGTTGTGATATTGAATGGGAGGTTTAAAACAAATTCTACAAACCTACCAGGAACTTGCTGTTACTGTTATAGAACTTACTATAATAAGGTATGGCTTTTGCTTATACACAATAGTATACTGTTAAAGAGTTGAGTTTTAGAACAGTTTCACTGTGTAAGCATTGGCATAAAATTATTATGCACACACAGGAACACACACACTCGCTCATCCATAAAGAAGCCGTGTCTCTTCCAAATATCACGCACAGGAAACAAAAAAGCTGCTTGTCATTGGCCAGCTCTTTTGTTCAAACCAAGGAACACAAAAAACTGTTTGAACACAAAACTGTTTTGTTATTTTTCCCTTAGAATAATTTATACTTTGATTGGATGATGTGTGCTATTTACTTCTATTATCTCCTTCTCCTTTTGAAAATAATAATTTAAAAAATTGCCAAGAATGTAATCATGTCATAAAAATTTAATTTTTTTAATGTAATAAAATATAATGTTTATTACTCCCGCTATTTTATTTCACATGTGCCTCTGTCACTGCTGATGACATGCTATGAATGTAACGGTGAGGTGGGATTAAATTAAATAAATTATCCCCAGGGGACAGTAAATCTAGGGAGGATTTCATAGTAGGATGTCTATAATGCACGTATGCATACCTCAAACAGCGCCATGTTTTTGCCATCATACTGCTGGCCCTTCTCTGGATCACTGCTGTTGATGAAAGGACTGCTTTCCTTGGGATTTCCATCTCCTGAAAATGACCAGGAGCATTACACTTTACAAACAAAACCAAATAATAAACCAAGATACATACGACATTATCATACGCACAAAAAATGGCATCAGAATCCAATACAAGAGTGTGAATTTCCACAAGAGAAACTTTAAGTTAAATAATTACAGCAACTTTTAAGGCTCCCTGGAGGACTAGTGGTTAGGCCTTGGCACTCTCAACGTTGTGGCCGAGGTTGGATTCCCAGGCAGGGAACCAACCCTAGCCACTGGGGTTGCACATGACAGTGCACTCCCAGTGCTGGTCCCAAGCCTGGACAAAACTGGTGAGGGTTGCGTCAGGAAGGGCAAAAAACCATGCCAAATCAAATGTGTGGACCAGTGAACTGCTGTGGCAACCCCTAACAGGAGCAGCCAAAAGAAGAAGAACAACAATGATTGCAGCAACTTTTAGCTGGGAAATGCAGATATTCATCTTGGCTTTATAATAAGAACAAAAATAAAGAGCCCCTGATTTAAAGTGATTTTTTTTCATACTTTAAATATGGTCATAGACCTTATGAGCAGTTCTGTGCTTGAATAATTGGTTTAGGTGCACCAGGAACTTGAACAAAACAAAAATCTTTGGGAATCTTAGGTCTCTCTTACGAACCTCTTGCATAAAATGACTGCTGATCTACTAATAGACCCTGTACTGTTAGTAAATCCCTTGGAGTCGGGATTTGCTCCAGGGCTATTTATAGAACTGTCTGTCAGGCTTATACTGGTGACAGAGACTTCTCCACACACTCATACCACAGGAGCGGAATGATAACAAGTCTACTATAGTTTCAGACTCTACTACATAGACACTAATAGCATGACACAACCTTACATGCATAAAGTATATGAACAGTGTAAATTCTAGGGCTGTCAGATTGAACTCTGTGACTGCAAACATAATTCAAAAGTCAGCGTATTTCTAAAATGGTGTCATCACCACCAGAAGAGCACTCGTGATCCAATCAGAGGGAACGTCATACAAGCATCATATTAGCGCTCCGATACGAGCCATCAAATTTCGCTCGGGGGGATGTACTTGTGTGAGAAATGAGGTGGAAATGACAGCTACATGTTTATCATGTAATTCAATGTATAGAAAGTTGTGCAGTCTGACATGGTGTAATGCATTCAAGAGTCCACTATATACAGCAGTAGTTGATATTTTGTAAATAATTGTCTTCTTTTTATAGTCATGTATAAAGGCACAGCACCTTACATCATGTCAATAGATTTTAAAGTAACAGTTCTGTTATTTAATTATTCTATTCAATCATTCAATCATCGTATTTGTAGAAGTAAATATTGTGCTTAATGATACAAATAGAATATAACCATAACTACAATACATTAACAAAATACAATCAACTTATTAACTACATACATATAACCCAGAAGACTGTAACAGATTTTCATTAGCCAAAGATAACTGGGTTATATGCAAACAAAAGAAGCTCCAGTAGAATGCCTAATGCCCCATTTTATTTGTGGCTGAATCTCAAATGGCATGTACTTCATGTAATGCACTATGTAGTGTATGAACACAGGACTAATATTTTTAAAATGAAAAATTGAAATCAGTGTATTATAATGACCGTACACTGAACGGTGGTACCCTTTTAAAGCACATTATTATTTTCCATCATTGTAATTAATACTGTTAACATGTGTGATGTGATACAGTGGGTGATTGGATGACAGTGTCCAAGAGATAAGGAGTATGAATGAGGGAGTGTCTGTGTTAAAGAGGAACTCAGAATGATCTCTTATTTGGATCATATCTGATTTTAAACAAAAGTAATATTCTGTTACTTGCACATTTTACAAAATGTGCAAAAGGTCTTGAGACATGAGTTGTCACACATCCGGGGAGCAAGGCTTATTCATTCCCACGCTGTCAAAACACGTCTTTGCACTGTGGATCTGACAAAAATATGCTCATCTATTTGAAAAATAATGAGAGATAACCAAAAATCAGGGCGCATAATTAAATAGTTTTAGAAGTCAGGTAGGAGTAGGAGGTTTACCACTGGGCTACATATGAGAAACTGAAGAAAATTATTTCTACCACAATAGTGAATAACTAAAAAGGCAAAAAAGGTTATTTGTCTTAACACGTATCTTCTTGCAAAGCTGCTGCACATGTGAACAGGATATCTGAGCTCCTTCACTCTTTTCTTGTTGCTTTCTACAGGTTTTTCCACAGGTTTATTTTCCTGAATGTGACATGCAGAACCCGGAAGTATGCTTCAGCATGTTGCGTCAATTAAAAAGATTTCAAACACATGTAACACTAACCAAAGTCCAGCACCAAGCAATGAAAATTAAGGAATGGAGCTGTAATATATCATTATAGTGCAGGTCAAGCTTTTCAGTTTACACTACTCCTTCAGTTCACAATGGAGCATCATTTCTGTGCTTTGACTCTATATCATATATCAGTCAATATACACAAATTGTCTGTATTGGACTGTCAGATTATTATAAACACACATTACCACAATATACATTCATATTAAAATTATTAGCCAAACTAATTAAACTTAGTGTGTGTGAAGCTGTTTTCCATGCTCAATGTAAATAACTGTGGGGTTTTTTTGGGCCAGCGGCTGTTGTCACAGATGGTGTTAAAAATGGGACGTAACATCACCTCTATGTTCAAACACCATCTGGAGTGCCCAATGGAGTGGCTCTTTAAACTCTGTGAGGTTTTGAGGTGTTTAATTTGGGGGTGTTGGGAGGTGTTTGGTGGCAACTGGCCCAATCAATGTTTGCTCAGAGAGAATTTTTGCCCAGGTCAAATTTAATCGATGATCTCTAGTGTAAAGTGCATAAATCGGGGTTCTAACCAAATAGGCCTTGACAGCTTTCTAGCTTCAGCCACAACTTAATTACCACAACCAAATAAACAAGGTCAGAAAACCATAATTAGGTGAACAAACAGTTTAATATTCAGCACCCATTATTGGCAAATAATGATTATCCATTAATCAATGAGAATTGAGTATTTAACCTTGGGGCATTGAACACTTGTGCCTTTAACTGACTGGGACAACATCAATAAAGGGCACTTCCTAGTAGACCCTTTCAGAAAGCTAGAACTGTTAACCATCCAAAGAACCCTGTCCCACAACAGCAGCCATCTTTAGCTATACACTCATCGGCCACTTTAATAAGAACACCTGTACACCTGCTCATTCATGCAATTTCATGCAGGATGCAGATACAGATATTCAATTAATGTTTCAATCAAATCAGATAGTCAATTAATGTTTCAATCAAACATCAGAATGGGGAAAAAAGGGATCTCAGTGACTCTGAGCATGGCATATTTGTGAGTGCCAAATACGTCAGTTTGAGTATTTCAGAATCTCCGGTTTATTTTTTTTCTCAGCCATAGAGTGTAAGCTATAGAGTTCACACAGAATGGTGTGAAAAAACAAAAAACAGCCAATGAGCAACAGTTCTGCAGGCAGAAACACATTATTGATGAGAGTGGTCAGAGGAGAATGTCCAGACTTGTTTGAGCTGACAGGAAATGTACGGTAACACAAATTTGAGTGAGCACAAACTTACCGAAACTGGACAGTTGAATATTGGAAAAAGACCAGGCAATGTACAGTTGACCTGTATCTACATTATTTTATGCACTGCTCTGCTGCAACATGATTGACTGACTGGATAATTGCATGAATGTGTAGGTATACAGATTGAGTGTAGACTCACTGAAACTGGACAGATGAAGACTGGAAAAAAGTTGTTTTTTTTGTTTTTTTTAAATTTAATCTTCAACTGTACAGTTTCAGTGAGCTGGTGCCCATGATAGCCTCAGATTCCTGTTCTTGGCTGACAGGAGTGGAACCCAATGTGGTCTTCTGCTGTTGTAGCCCATCCACCTCAAGGTTTGATGTGTTTGATTGTGTATGCTGAGATGCTTTTCTGCTCACCACAGTTGTAAAGAGTGCTTATTTGAGTTACTAAATCCTTCCTGCCAGCTCAAAATAATCTGGCCATTTTCCTCTGACCTCTCTCATCATCAAGGTGTTTCCACCCACAGAACTGTCACTCACTCATTGTTTTTTATATTTTGCACCATTCTATGTAATCTCTAGAGACTGTTGTATGTTAATTTCCCAGGAGATCAGAAGTTTCTGAAATACTCAAACCAGCCCATCTGTTACCAACATCCATGCCATGATCAAAATCACAGAGATCACACTTTATCTTCATTCAGAGGTTTGATGTGAACATTAAATGAAACTCTTGACCTGTACAGGATCTCCATGATTTTTTTGCATTGCGCTGCTGCGACATGTTTGGCTGATCAGATAACTGCATGAATGTGCAGGTGTACAGGTGTTCCTATTAAAGTGGATGGTGAGTGTATATTTAACAGTTCCAATACACAAAAGGTACATAATCACTCACGTGAGCACTTAATATTGCAACTGCGTGTCAAGAATGGGAAGTGAAGGTAGATGCAAATGCAGACAATTTTATTAAGTAAAGTGCAAACAAACAACCAAAAACATGTAAACAAACCATGACCATGAACATGAACATGAACATGAACTATGGATATGGATATGGATATGAGGCAAAAAAAACATACCAACTAGAAGCAATACTGCAATGAGACGCTGAAAAACTAGAACTTAAATAGTGGTGCTAATCAAGGTGAAACAGGAAACAGGTGAGAGGGATTAGTGACATGACACGCTAGGGCTGATGGGTATTGTAGTTCTGCACCCCTCTGGCACTACCATGACAACGTAAGAAAGACAAAAGAAACAGTCTGAAAACGAAATTCATTTCCAAGAGGGAGAAATAACAAACGATTCTGTCTGCATAACAGGAAACTAATCCTGTAGTCTGTCATTCTTACAAATATTCATTTCCCATATGCTGTCAGGATATTATATATACTCATTCATTCTGTATTTATCTGTGCATAAAGCAGCAGACAAACATATGCCTGACATGGCTACAATATCCCTGAGGCTTATAAAGCATACTTTCTCACTCTGCCTAACTGGCACATACAGCCTGAGAGGCTGACCTTAAATTATTAAATGACACAACCAATCCTTGTGTAGTCATGTTTCTTTCCCTGAATAGATGTGTTGAGCATGAAGCCACATCCAACCACAGACGGTGATGGCTTTGCATGATGGTCAGTTATCTCTCTTTGGATTGAGGAATGTCAATGACCGTCAG